CGGGGCCGTAACGGGGCCACCGCCTTCCCTCCCGCCCCGCCAGCAGGTGCCGACTCGCTGGTTTCGCTGGGGCTGAGTAACTGTCCCGCTGCGCGCGGGCCCCCATTCCCCGAAACCGCCTCAGGCCCGGGCAGAGGCGGTGGAGTTGGGTGGGCCCGGGCTCCCGGATGCCGGGGTCCCGTCCGCGCGCGGACTGCGATCCCAGGGCCTTCCGGGGGACAGCGCCCGCCGCGCCCGCGATGGCAATCAGCGCGCGGCGCCCGGGCGCTCCGCACCATGCGGGGGGCGTGGGGTGAGGGTCTCTGGGCTCCCACGGTGTCCGCTGGGGGGTGTGCGAGGTGCGGTCCCAGAGCGCCCGCAGGAAGTGCTCCTCGCAGCCCCGGCCGAACCGGTCCGGCGGGCGCCTCAGGGCTTGGCTTCGCTTCTCCGACGCCGCCCCGGCCCCCCACCGGCTGGGCTTGGGGGCGCGGAGCCGGCGCCGGGGTCACCGCGGGCGGAAACTGCTGACCTTTGCCTTAGGCCATACCAATAGTCGACAGTCGGCAAGGGTTGCGGCAGCCGAGCCAGGGTAAAGCTGGCAGGGCAAGGCCATAATCCTGGATGAAGCCGGGGAAACAACGGGATGCAGACGTGCCGAGTGGCAGGGCCCGGTGGATCACAGGGCTCACGGCATGCCTAGCACGGACCTGGAAACGGAGACTTCGCCACTAAAGACCTAGGGCCAAGCAGCCCATGAAACCAGCACTCTTGGAATTCCAGAGGGCTGGATAGGAGCTGGTTGGCGACACTCAGGGGGCTCGCCTGGAGCTCACCAAGCATTGTCTCCTGGGCCCGGGACCCCCACGGCAGATGCCCCACTGACCGCTGGCTTCCAGGGCCCAGAACTGCGGGCGTCCAGGCCCCACAGACTACAGTAACGCCTTTGGCTTTAATTAGCCGGCTTTGAAGATGAAACAGACCTGAGCCCCCATGTTAGTGCTGCCAACTAGTTTCTCTCCTTTCTCCAAGCTTCGCAGGCCCCTCCCTTACCCTGTCCTGCTGCCCTCAGATGGGAGGTGGTAGGGAGTGGTGGGGTAGAGAGAGCTGGAAAAGAGGCTGTCTGGGTGCCCGCGGTGCCAGGGATGCCAGGGGGATGGAGACAGGGATCCACCCCGAGGGACAGGTCCAGCTGGAAAGCCCAGTCCCAACTCCTCTGGGCCCTGGCTCCATAGTTGACTCACAGGCGACAGCCCCAAACCACTTCCCTCTAGGTGCCTCAGTTTCCCCATCTATAAAATGGGAGTGATGACTCCCGCCCAAGAGACTGTGGGGTGGGGCAGCCTGGCTAATTAAACCTAAGATGAAAGAGGCCAGGATGAGAGCAGCCCTGGGAGGGAAGGCAGCTTGGGGTAACAAGGAGCCTGTCTGGTTTCCCTGTCTGAGGCCCAGAGGGTGCTGATAACTACACACCCCTAGCCCTCACCACTCACAGGGAGGGAGCAATGATTATTAAACCTCGTTTACAGTTGAAGACACAGGCTTCAAAGGGTCAGGAAATCTGCCACTGGCTTTGGCCCTCATTCAGCTTCTGACAGCAGCGTTTCTGGGCCTTGGCTCCTTGGGGCCAGGGGTCTGGAGGGAGGGAGGGAACCTGTGTGTGGTTCCCGATGGTGTGGTGGGGGCATCCACATGGACTCCCAGGCTTACAGCAACCCTGGGGTACCTGGGGATGGGTACCATTCACAGATGAGGAAATGAAGGCCCAAAGAAGTGCAGTCACTTGCCCAAAGTCACAGAGCTCCTAAGAGGTGGAGGCTGGACATCAGCAAACGGCCCCCTGCTGCCCCTGACTTGGCCCTCCTTCCACACCAGCTACCCGCAGCCCTCTTGGGTGTCCAGGTCCTGGGATGGGCCTTCCCCTTACCTGCCTGCCCAGATGTCCCTGCCCTGTTCCCCTGTGGGAGGGTGGCACTGGTCTGTCCCTGGCACAGGCCAGGCAGAGAGTTAAGCTCAGCCCACCAGCACTGAGGGCATGAACGTTCCCTGAATCCGCAGTCAGCAGGCCTGCCTGGGAAAGGGACCTCCCAGCCAAGAGGGCCTAGGTGTGGGCTGCAGCCAGGTGGCCGAGCAGGGAACTCCCCCAACTCGATGTTCACACCTCATTCCTTCTTCTCCTGATGGGTTTCCGGCCTCCCCGGTGTAGGCCAGCTCTGGGGAGATCCTATACACAAGGCTTGGGAAAGGGAAAGTCAGTTTCCCGAGGGGTCCTGAGCCTGTTTTCTCATCTGTAAAATGGGGACATGGCCAACCCATCTTCCCAGCACTGGGTGCTCCCTGGGGATACAGGGATGCTTTAAAAAGAACACCTCAATAGGCAAATCCATAGAGAGAAAGCAGAGTAATGGATGCCAGTGGCTTGGAGAAGAGCAGAATGGGGATTGACTGCTAATGTTTACAGGGTTTCTTTTGGGGTGATGAGAATGTTCTGGAAGACCGTGGTGATGGCTGCACAACTCTGTGAAGATACCAAACCCCCTGAATTGTATACTTTAAAAAGGTGAATTTTAGGGGCGCCTGGGTGGCTCAGTTGATTAAGCGACTGCCTTCGGCTCAGGTCATGATCCTGGAGTCCCGGGATCGAGTCCCACATCGGGCTCCCTGCTCAGCGGGGGGTCTGCTTCCCCCTCTGCCCTCTTCCCTCTCGTGCTCTCTGTCTCTCATTCTCTCTCTCTCTCAAATAAATAAATAAAATCTTTAAAAAAAAAAAGGTGAATTTTATGGTATATGAATTATATCTAAATAAAGCTACTAAAACGGTGTTAAAAGAAAGAGGTCCCTTGTATACAGAACTTACGGTTGTGGGGGAGGGGGAGGATAACAGACAATAAACAAACAGGACAAACCAAAATTTCAGAGTAAAAGATGGAAAATAGGACAGGGTAATGGGCTGGAGGTGACTAGGGGACAAGGATTTAGCTAGGTGGCCAGAGAGGCCTCTCGGAAGGGGGACACTTGGCTGAAACCTGAATGACAAGAGGTAACCAGTCATCAGGTGGGGAAAAGCGTTCTGGGAGGAAGGCACACCGGAGGAGAGGCCTGAGCAGGACCAGGCTTTGGCAGGCCTGGTGGATGGCAGGCAAGCAGCATGGCTGGCACACGCAGAACCAGCAGGAAGGGAGAGGCGAGCGGTCAGGAGGCTGGGAGGGACCAGAGTGCACGAGGCCCCCAGCTGCCATGGGAGCCACGGGAGGGCTTGGGCCAAGGGGAGACAGCTGGCTGCCGGTGGGGGAAGGGGGCCAAGGTTGCTCCGGAGGCTGCCCTGTGGCCAGGTGAAACGCGCCAGGGCCTTGGCCCAGGGCGTAGCTGCGGATGGAGGTGTGGGCGCGTGCCCGACGATTTGGGAGCTCCCGGGACTTGGTGGTGGGTGGATGTGGAGGGTGAGGGAAGAGGGGACAGACAACTCTGGGCTTTGGCCCTGAGTACTTGAGGGCTGATGATTCCAGTCTCCGTGATGAGGAAGGCTGTGGGAACTGAGGAGGGAATAAAGTCTGGCAGGTCAGACCTGCAGCCACCGTGGAGAGGCTTGGAACCTTTGGCTTCTCTTTGCACTGTTCCAGAGGCTCCAGATGGCCCAGATGGCCCCTCCTCCTCTGGCTACTGCCCCACCCCCACCCCCCGCCCAGCTCTGCCGAGGGAGCCTTTTGCCCGCCCTGACAGTAGGACATTGGGAGGCCCACGGGCAGGAACTCTGCAGAGGTGGAGGGTCGGTGTCCTGACAGCACTCATGGCTTCTCAGGGGCTTTGCAGCTTCCCCGAGGCTATTGTTAAATAACGCTGGAGAGGCCACTGTTCGAGCCACGCAGAGGCCTTGGTGGCTGGGGCACCATCAGCCTGCTTTAAGGCTGAGTCCATTTTCAAAGGCTGCTAGACTTCCAGGCAAAAGCAAATCCACATCTCTTGACCGCTCTGAGGAAGAGAGCTGGAACTAGGAACCCCAATTTACAGATGTGTAAACTGAGGCCCTGACAGGTTAGGTGGCTTGGTTCGAGTGCCCAGAGACTAAAAGTCTGGGGCAGGCCAACTCCAGGCCCTTTCCTGCTTGTCGCAGCACATCTCATCTCCCGGAAGCCCTTCTGCCTTCAAGCCTCCCTGCTTTCCAGCCCCTGACCTGCCTCCACCCCCTCGAAGCTCCCCTACTAAGCTTTCTCTGAGAACAGGAAGGGGTTGTTCCATGCCTTCTCCATCTAACTCCTGCCCCAGCTCTCCCCAGGCTGCTCAGGCTGGGAGCCCAGCACCAAAGGCGGGAGCCAGCCACCACTCTTTGGGGAGCACGGTCCTTGCTTGCTTGCTGGAGTTCTGCCTTGCTTCACACCCTTGTCCCAACACTATACCAACAAGAGAGGTCTACTCAGAACACCTAGAATCAGAGCTCATGGCTCCGTTTGCAGATGGCCCAGGCCACCATCACCTCCTGCTCGGACAATTGCAGTAGTCTCCTTACTGGTCTCTCTACTACACCGTTCTACCATAGCTTCCCACCACTGAGCCTCACATGACATGGCACACCTGCCTCTTCAACCTCAGTTCCCACACCCTCCCATTCCCTCCTAATGCCACCTTGTCTTTTGGTTCATCTCACATACACTAGGCTCACCCCCACTCTGGGGCACCAGCTGTTCCTTCTGTGGATCTGGCTCTTGCCTGCTCACACAGCTGGCCCCTACCTCTTGTTCAGATCTCAGCACCCCCACCTGTCATAATCCCATCACTGAAGTCATGCATCACACTAAAAGTTTCCTTTTTTCTCTGCCTTGCATCACAGAATCATCAGTACCAAGCAAGTGATAGGTGTTTGATATTTGTTGACTGAATTAAGGAATGAATGAATGAAATCTGATACTGTGTGAATGGAGCAGAAGGTGCCTGCCCTCACGGAGCTTGGTGTTTATCCAAGTTCACGCACATTGTCTCGTTCCAGGGCTGCTCATGAACCACAGACCACACATCAGCAGCCTGTGAGTCAAATCTGACCCTCAATGGTATTTTGTTTGACTCGTTACATGTTTTTTTTTTAAAAAAAACTTTGGTGGGGGGCGCCTGGGTGGCTCAGTCGTTAAGTGTCTGCCTTCGGCTCAGGTCATGATCCCAGGGTCCTGGGATCGAGCCCCGCATCGGGCTCCCAGCTCGGCGGGGAGCCTGCTTCTCCCTCTCCCACTCCCCCTGCTTGTGTTCCCTCTCGTTGTGTCTCTGTCAAATAAATAAAATCTTAAAAATTTTTTTGAGCCAACTTTTAAAAATTGGTAGATTTCACATACAAATCTGGGTTTTTGGCTTCTTTTCGAAAATGGACAGATGTGGCCACATTGGGTTTCTATGCTCAGATGACATGATTGTTACTGCCCTTTTAGATAGGCACATTCTGCACCGTCCCCACCACTCTCTCTGTCTTTCCCTGACAGCCCGGGTCAGTTGCCTTTTATCACCGAACCTGCCCTATTGCTTTCCTTATAATAAATTTGCTCTGTATCCATGCCTCTACCAAAAGTTGGAACATGAAAGGCTGAATGGGTCACATGAGTCAAGAAAAAGAGAGATTCATTCATGCAACAAATATTTATCGATAGTCTACTATGTGCCAGCAACAGCTGTAGATACTGGAGATATAGGAGGGGACAGCATGGGTGACTATCCCCTCCCTCTGGACACTGTGTAACATTCTTACTACAAGTGGAGACATGGGAATTGTTCCTTACTAACCCCCCCACCCATGAGAAAAACTGCGCTTCTTGTGTCCAAGGTCATCTGTGAAGACTTAGTTTCCACTAAGCACCTACTGTGTAACAAGCCCCTGGCAAGGTCTGGCACAGCAGAAATGCTCAATAAATATCTGTTGAACTAATTAACTAAATTTACCTCCTAGACAGACTGTGTTAGGGGTCAATGTTGTTTCTCCAGGATTTATTGGAAAGGTAAGTGCATAGTAGGTGCTCACTTCATGCCAGTTGAACCAAAGGGTGCAGGTAAGAAGGGAGGGCTGACAAAGTACGTTTGGGGTGCAAGAAGGCAGAGCCCTGGGAGAGGAAGGGGCAAACAGCTCTGAGCTGCGGGAGCCCACAGTGACCCCAGGAGGTAGGTGACAGGATTCTCAGGTGATAGACTAGGAAACAGGCTGGAAAGGAAAGCCCCTTGGTCAAACTCACAGGCCCCAGGAGGGAGTGAGGGAGGAGGCCCATCTGCCCCTGAAGTGCACACTCCCCCCCACCCACCTTCGGGGTGCTCCTGGACCACCTGTGGGGGGATGTAGAGGGCCTGCCCGGAAGCCGACCACCAACCTTCTGCTCCCCTTTGACTCCTGACTTTTGAATTGTGTGAATTCATTTATCAGACTCATTTCTTGTTAATCTGTTCCAGCAAACATTTAACACGTGGGAAAGGTGTATGTGTGGTAGAGATCCTGAAGTGTTTATTTTATATGGGGGTAGAAGGAGAGCTAAAGAGAGGAAGGGGTCCCATTTCTGACCTCAGTAGGCCAGCTCTGGTAAGAGAAGCCCAGCCGCAGCCTGGCGCCAAAGTGTCACAGTAATTGGAAGGCAACAAGCGCTCCGAGGGTGGGCCTCCCTCCAGCTAAATCTGGGGGCTGGGCAGAGCTTGTTGAATGATTGGGGGGGTGAGGGGGAGGGTGTGTGTCCCAGGCTGAACTTCAGCCGAGGATGGCCAACGGGGGAAAGCAGACAAGAGCCCTCTGCCCTGCAGTGGCTGCCACCAGGCAAAGTAGGTTGGGCCTGACTTCTTCAGGGGGCCTTGGCCTCGGCCTTGCTGCACCTGAAATCTGGCCCTTTGGGACCAGGATGAGAGTGTTTGCGGGAGCGTAAGCCCCAATGACTAAGGCGCTGAGGTCTTTCGAATCTCAGTGGACTCGGAGAGGTTTAAACGCCCCATCCTCCACGAAGCCTTCCACACTTCCCTGGCCCGAAAGCGGGCTCCGGGCCGTGATGAGCGATCTGCTCTCCGGCCGGCACTCTCCGCTTTGTACTGTGGCCGCGTCGTCCCCGCGGGCACGCCCACTGGCCTACGCGCTCCTGGGGCCTCGCGTGCCTACCCGCACGGAGCCGGAGCCCAGCAAATACCTCTGGGCTGAACCACGAATTGCTCAGCCAGGCCTTCGGGATCCGGGCCGCCTGGGCCCAGGCCCGGTTCAACAAGTGTGGGCGGGGCCGCCCGTTCCCGCCCGACGGCTTCGCGCCTCCCCAGGCGCCCGGGGCGCGCCGAGTCGGGCCGGGCCCCGTTGGGCGAGTTTCATTTCATCACCCGCAGAGCGTGCGAGCGCGGGTGCACATAACGTTGCCCCCTCCCCTCCTCGGCTCCCTCCGAAACTCCCAAACTTCCGTTTGCGCACGCTAGCGCTCCCAGCTGGGAGGTCCCGGGCGAGGCGGGCGGCGGCC